CTCCCTCCCCATCACTCTCCGTCTCCCCCCAAAACTGACAATCCAGGGGCTACAGGAGGGAGGGAGCCCTGTTCAGGGCCCCTCACAGCCGGAGGAGGGGGCTGTGGGGCGAGGGTGGGGGAGGGAAGCCTCCAGGTGTGTAGCTGGGGGGCCTCATCCAAGTCACCAGGGGTTGTTTCTTGATCGCCCTCCCCAGGGTTTGGGCCTTGCAGCCCCTTGTCCCCCTCCCTGTCAGGCACCGTCAGAGCTGCTCACCCCACACATACTGATGCCGCGGGGACAGGGGTTCCAAATGTGTGCAGAGGCTTCAGAGCACAGGGAGAGAGGAGGCTGCAGGGTCCACAGGGCACCCTCCATTCCCCCCAGCTCCCTCCTCAGGAGGTGCGGCGCCTGGGGAGCTTCCCCTGCACAGGGGGCTGGCATGGCAAGGAGGTCTGAGTGTGAGTGAGTGTGTGTGCGCATCTGAATATGTGTGCATGTGCTGAATATAAACATGTGTGAGCACCTGGCTGTGTATGTAAATATGAATGTGAGTGTGTGTAGTTGTGTGTGCATGTTAGTGTGCATGTATGTGCATGTGAGAGAGTGTGGGCATGTATGAGTGAGTGCGAGTGTGGGTGGTGCGCGTGTGCTGGTGGCTTCCTCAGTGCAACTGGGGAGGAGTTAGGAGCCGTGTGCTCATCCATCCGATGGACTGTGCCTAACTGTGCTACAAAGACCTCCTGACATGCACCTGTGTGCAGGTGTGCACACGCATGTGCCTATGCAGGTGGCTCTACACGTGTGTGAGAACCAGAGTATGTATGCCCACATGACACGAGTCAGGAAGATTCTGGAGCAAGGCTTCCCAGGCACCCGTTTTGCACACACCTTTTTCCTGACCCAAAGGAAAGCCTGAGTTCCACACACAAACGCATTACAAGGACCCCTGCCTGAGGGGCTCTGAGGGGCTCTGAGGGGCTCTGAGGGAGCCTCCATGGAGCGTTTGAAATTTTAAAAATGCATCTGTGCAGGCATAACTTGCATGTGAAAATAAGGCGAACGGTCTAGGGCCTTTCATCCCACTTGGAGTCCCAGCCCCGAGTTTCAACATGAGAGAGAAGGTGGCAGGGCCCTGTGGTGCCGGGGGGGTCCCCTGGGCTCGGGTAGGCTGCTGGGTGCTTCACAGTATCCAGGCCCCAGGCTTCGAGGCCTCTGTTTCCCAGGGCAGAACAGCTGCGTCCCGCTGGTCGACCCTTTCGCCAGTGAGAGCCTGGACGTCTCCACCTCGGTGCAGCACCTCGTCTGTGAGTCGTGGGTGGGGCTGCCTCGTCCTTTCCAAATATTCAGGCAAGGCTGGATGCCAGCCATCCCCATCCCCATCCCGCAGCACTGCTTCCACTGCCCCTGCATCTCCAAGAGGACGTTTCCACGCAGACCTGTCCCAGTGCTGTGCTACTGTGCCTAACCACAGGTGCCCGGCTCCCAGCCTGTCCTGTGTTCCCCTGTCTCAGTTTCCCTCTCAGTGGCGAAGGCTCATTCTTTGTTGTTGGGGAAGTCAGGCAGCTCCGAGCGTGGCTGGATCCTGTGGGTGCTGCAGACTCCTGGATCCCCATTTAGGACTCGGCTCTTCCAGATGGCCTGCTGTCTACCTGACTGCCACCTTCCCCCTGGTGGGTCGGGGGACATGCGAGGCCTGGGATGGGGGTTGGGAGGGTTCTGGGGATGCCTCCCTCTCCCGGCCTTAGGAAGCCCCTGCCAGGGCGAGAGGGGGCCACTGGGAAGGTCCAGTGGTTTTCACGGAGATGGGCGTCAGCCGCTTTTCCTGAGAAGATGAAGCACCATGTCACTGTCCTCTGGCAGACAAGCGCTGAAGGGCCTACCTGGACCAGAATTCTCACCTGAGCCCCCTCTCCTGCAGTGCTGCACCGCGCAGTCATGGTGGTCCTGCCCCTGAGCCTGGTCCTTCTCGTATGCGGCTGGATCTGCGGCCTGCTCAGCTCCCTGGCCCAGAGCGCGCCTCTGCTGCTCTTCACCGGCTGCTACTTCCTGCTGGGGGGTGAGTCTGGGGCCCTGGGAGAGTGGCTCCAAAGACGGGAGCTGGGCCACAGGTTCCGGGAGTGGCGTGCTGCCTCTACTGTTGCCCTCATCCCCTGCTTCCCTCTGGGCAGGTGCTGAGCCTGGTGATGGAGCCGTGGCAGGCAGCTCCCTGTGGTTCCAGAAGGTACCCATGTGTATTTGTTCTCACATCGCTATAAAGAAATGCCCGAGACTGAGTAATTTATAAAGAAAAGAGGTTTAGGCTGGGCGCGGTGGCTCATGCCTGTAATCCCAGAACTTTGGGAGGCTGAGGTGGGTAGATCATCTGACGTCAGGAGTTCAAGACCAGCCTGACCAACATGGTGAAACCCCATCTTTACTAAAAATACAAAAATTAGCGAGGCTTATAAAGAAAAGAGGTTTAATCGGCTCATGGTTCTGCACACTGTAGAGGAAGCATGATGCTGGCATCTGCTTTGCTTCTGGGGAGGCTTCAGGAAAATGACAATCACGGGCAGAAGGCCAAGTCAGGGAGCCAGCATTTCACATGGCTGGGACAGGAGGAAGAGAGTAGGGAGGTGCTACACACTTTTTTTTTCTTTTTTTTGAGATGGAGTTTTGCTCTTGTTGCCCAGGCTGGAGTGCAATCGCATGATCTCAGCTCACTGCAACCTCCGCATCCCGGATTCAAGCAATTCTCCTGCCTCAGCCTCCTGAGTAGCTGGGATTACAGGCATGTGCCGCCACACCCAGCTAATTTTGTATTTTGGGTAGAGACAGGGTCTCTCCATGTTGGTCAGGCTGATCTCAAACTCCTGACCTCAGATAATCCACCTGCCTCAGCCTCCCTAAGTGCCGGGATTACAGGCGTGAGCCACTGCGCCCAGCTGGGTGCTACATACTTTTAAACAACCAGATCTCAGCACTCACTCACTATCCAGAGGACAGCACCAAGGGAAATGGTGCTAACCCATTCATGAGAAGCCACCGCCATGATCCAGTCACCTCCCACCAGGCCCCACCTCCAATACTGGGGATTACCATTTCACATGAGATTTGGGCTGGGACACCAAACCACAGCACTGTGATAGGAGCAGGGCTTCTGGCTGTGGGTCAGAGCCTCGGACAGGGAGGAGCACCAGGGTCCAAGCTTCTTGGCGGGGGTGGGGGATGAGGGCCTCCAGGGCAACCCCAGGACCTGCTTTGCTGGGTCAGATCATGCTGGGGGGCCTGGGGCCAGCCCCTTACCACACCCTTCTTCCCACACTGTCTTGGTGGGAGAAGCAAGGGCTCAGGGGTTTGGCACAGACGAGGCAGGTCCAGGCATGAAGGCAGGTGCAACAGGGCACCAGAGGCCTCAGCTCTGACCCCAGCACAGGCTGAGACTGTAACCAGTAACTACCCATCCACTGACACGGCTCCAGCTCTGACTACATGCCGAGTGCTGGCTGAGTGCTGGCCAAGTGCTCCTCCGAAGGCTCCCCAGTCCCAGCTGCAGGTGAGAAATCTGAGGCCTGGAGAGGGACGAGGGCCTGGGCTCCAATCCCGCTGTGCTGTCTCCTCAGTTTCCACCGACTGGCCAGGGCTAGCTGTTGTGGAAGGTAGACTGGGGGCTCCAGACGGTCTGTCCTTGGCTGCCCCTGTCAACCAAGGCCAGGCCTGAGCCAGGCCTGGTGTCTCAGGCCAGCTCCACTGTCAAGGCCGTGGCCACGAGGAGCGGACCGTCCAGGGCTGGGGGCACCCTCCCTGCTTCTCTGGGAGGCCTCTGCCACTGAGGAGGCCCGGCTGGGTGCAGAGATTGGGGAAGCGAGCCCTGGCATTGATCACAGGCCACATGAGAGCAACATTGAAGTCAAAGTCTCTAGACGATGAAATCAGGAAGAATTCAAATGACCGGACCGTGGAGCCCATCTGTGAGTGTTCAAAATCCAATCACGAGGACCTTCGGGGCCAGCGACGGGAGTAATCGGATTGGGATTGTAACCGGGAGACAGTGACAGGAATGATTGGGTTGGGATTGTAACCAGGAGACAGTGACAGGAATGATTGGGTCGCGATTGTAACTGGAAGAACTTACAGGGACACGGACCCTCTGCATTGTGCCTGGGAGCGAAGGCACCGGCTAGGAGGCGGAGGGGCTGGAGGTAGCTGGTGGATGGGTGGGGGTTCCACTGCGACTCCAGCCTCCCCAGGCAGAGAGGGTCTCCACTCCTAGAATGAGGGTCAGCTGTGGGCCGAAGCACAGACGGCTCTCAGGATGTCACACCGAGGGCACCTGCCTAGGGTCAGCTCAGCCCTCACCCCTCACTAGCACTGCAAGGAGCGGGAAGGAGATGGAGCACCCCAGACGGATTGGGTGCCCGTCCCTGAGACAGGATCATGGGGGGCCTGGAGGACCGACAGGGCCTGTGGTGACACAGTCCTCTAGAGTTTCCCAGCTTGAGGCTGCAGGTGCCAGCCGTGGAAGCCTCCTTTAGGAGGCGGGAGGCTGACAGAGAGGTCTGCCAGGAGCTGAGCCCAGGCCCCCTCACCAGGGAGTCGGAGGCACTTCAGGTCCCAGCGTGGGAACTTACTCTTCCCCTTCATTTTGGGAGAAAGGCCGTGTCCTCGGCCAGTCTACAGGAGGCAGCTGGTGTTTGGAGAGGGCTCAGCTGGTGGGGCGGCCTGCCAGGAAGTGGGGCCTTGGGCTGCAGGCAGAGACAGGCACCTCCTACCGCGCAGTCAACCCCCGCTGCTGGGGGCTGGCCCCCGCCCCTGCTTCTCCCAGGGCCTGCTTCATTCTATTTGGCTTCACATTCCTCCCCAAAGTAAATCCATAATTTCTGTTGCTACACTGCCCAGCCGGGCAGGCACCTATATGTCCTCCCTCCCCCGGCCTCCCCATGCCGTCTTCTTCCCACTCTTCTCGGGGTGAATCACAGAAGACCAGGCTGGGCTGTGCCCCTTCACTGGGCACCAGTGAGATCCAGACCTGGCCCTGAATGTCAGCTTGGGTCAGTGGCCTTCTTTTGGCTGGGCAGTGCCCAGAGGGGACCCTGTGCACCCAGGAAGTGCCTGTGGGGAAATCAGGGCCACCTGCTCCCCTGGCTAACATTCCCTACAGTCGGCACCCAGGACAGGCTTTCTCATCAGCCTGAAGCTGTGGGAAGGGGGTGGCACTCCGGGCTGGCTCCTCCAAGCCCAGCGGACAGGAAAATACCCTGGGGGCATGGGCTGAGTCCCCTGCCCAGCTCTTCGCTGGACCCTGAACTGCTGGATGAAACCTGGTGCCTGCCACCCTGCGCAAAGCTCGGCTTCATTCCTTTGACAACAGCTTCGACCACGTGGAGAGTGGGAGGGAGGAGCGAGGAGGGCCCAGGGCAGGCCTCCTCCCCTGAGGAAGGGCCCGAAACTCACAGCTGGGAGGACAGGGGGGCTCTGGAAGGAGAGTCGGAGGGAGATGTTAGCCCCAGAGGTAGGGAGGGTGAAGGTGTGAGGAAGAGGAGGAGGGGGTGCAGGGCAGGGACTCGCTCTGCTCAGAGCACTGGGCAACCCTGCTGCCAGCAGAGGCCATGGCTGTGTGTGTGTGAATGTGTGCGAATGTGTACGTGTACGTGTGTGTGCATGTGCGTGTGTGTGCTGGGGGCCATGGAGGGTACAGAGTGTGTGGGGGCAGTTATGTGAGTGGGAACCATGTTGAGGGGCAGGTGGCACTGTTTGCAGAGGCTTTGTGGGATGAGGTCTCTGGGGTTTGAGGACTGAATTGCAGCCTCTTAAAGCTCCACTCCCCCAAATGCAGGTGACTACCTTGGGGTCCTGTCTGACCCCAAGCAGGAGTTGGTGTCTGGGGGCCAGGTTGATAGCCAGGCAAGGCCAACCAGGACAGGAAGGGTGGTGTGCTGCCTGCAGTTCTGCCTGAATGCCAGCGGGGCGGGGATGCTGAGGCGGTATCTGCAGGACCACCTGGGCCTGGGCCCACTGGAGCAGATACAGAGCAGCTGCCTGCCCCATCTCTCCCCCAGGTGTCCTAACCCTGACGGGGGTCAGCATCTACATCAGCTACTCGCACCTGGCCTTCGCGGAGACGGCGCGGCAGTACGGCCCACAGCACGTGCAGGGCGTCCGCGTCAGCTTCAGCTGGTCCATGGCCCTGGCCTGGGGCTCGTGTGCCTCAGAGGCATTCAGCGGAGCCCTCCTGCTCTCGGCAGCCCGGACCCTCAGCCTGAGCCCCCCACTCTGTGGTCATCTGAGCCCCCAGCAGGTGGGAGGGAGGTGAGAGGAGGCTGGGTTTCCCTTTGCACCTCCTGGGATTGGGCTGTCAGGGCCAGGGCCCCTTGAGAATCTGGGAATCCCTTCCCTGGGTCTGGCTGGGGTCCTGGCCAGAAAGCAGCCCTGGGGGTGACAAGGGGTGGGGGACAGAGCCAAGAATCCAGCTCAGGTTTCTCCGTAGATATTTGGGGAGGCTCCCCTGCCCCGGCAGGCTCGTTAGGGACTAACTGGTTCAACTGCCTCTTAGAGATGAGAAGAGCCAGTCCAGAAAGAGGAAGTGGCCCAGGTGACACAGGCTGAGTAGCAGAGTTGGGTGGGGGCCTCTCAAGGGTGTGGCCTGAACTCGCCCCTCCCCCAGCAGGCTCATGAGCCACTGCTGCCCCCCCGTTTCTAAGGACCTGGGAGAAAAGTAGGAGTCTGTTAAATGCGGTGGGGCTGGGCTCCATGCTGCTCTCCAGTCCCACAGTGGCCCTACTCAATGGCTACCCTTTATCCATTTTACAGAGGGGGAGACTGAGGCCCGGAGTGGCAGAGGGACCCACCCAGATCATCTGGCACCAGAGAGATGCCATTTTAGGCCAAGGTTTCCCGGGCCTCGTTCTGTCCACTCTCCCCGGAGGGTTGGCTTGGTGGAGAAGAGGCTGAGGAGAGGGCCCGAGAGCCCCCTCCGACTTGCAGGTGTAGGGGGCGAGGAGCTGAGCCAGCCAGATGTGCCCCTCCGTCCGCTCCCTTGTTTTCAAGCCTGCTAGGTACTTTTCACTGAACGCTTCTGGGGAGAGCAGGCGCCCAGGTCTCTGTCCTTGTCCTGGCACAGGCTCTGCTGCTTCTGGCCCCCGACCCTTCCTCTCTGCAGCAACCTGGGGGAGGTATGCCATTGTGAGTGCCCTGGTGGGCACACTGAGCTGGCAGAGATGGAAGTCCCAGAAGGGTGGCTTGGGGGTGTCATGCCATGGTGGAGGAGTTTGGGGCCACTCCTTGCTTGCCTCAAAGGGGGCCTGGCTGAGGGGGCTTCTTGACCACAGGGACCCGGGCTGCCTGGGGTGGCGCAGGGCTAGGCCTGGAGTTTGGGATGCAGACTTGTTAAACAGAGGGCAGAACCCCAGGTTGGGAGGGGCTCAGCTTGCAGGCCCAGGCCCACTGCAGGTCCCAGAGAGAGATAGGTGAGAAGAGGGATGGCCAGCACACACCTGGGTCCCCTCGGACCACAAAAGCTGGGGCACGCCCACCGTTATGCAGATGGACAGTTGAGGCGGCCGCAGGAGAAGGGTTCCCAGGGCCTGTGCAACATGTGGAAGCAGTAAACAGCCCCGTTTGGGGTTTGGGGGCCCTTCCCAAGTCTTGAGAGGTGTGCTGAGGAAGGTGGCGGCCTCTTGTAGCTTGATCTTCCTCCTCCCTGCCCCACCCCGAGGTCTTCCTTATTGATTCAAAGGTTAAGGAAGCTCCTGGGAGCTCGAGGCGGTGGCACAGTTTTGGTGAGGCCCAGTGAGGACCAATCTGGGCGGGGTGAGCCCGGCCTCCTCTTCCTCCCGGCGTTTGAACGTTTACCATTCCATGTGGGAACATCGTGCCTATTTGTTCTTACGTAAATCACTTGTGCTGTGTGCAATATAGGCCTTTTATTTTGCTAGAATTTTTCAAAATGGGTAACACATTCCCGTCTGTCATAAACAGTACAAAGGTGAGCAAACACTGTCACCAGCTGTGCACGTGTCTGTCCATCCAGAGGTGTTCTGAGAGCCTGTGTGCCCATGTGTGTCCATTGTGAAGTCATCTGCAGACACACAAGCCTACTTATTCCAAGGTCAGCACAGGGAGGCCAGGGCCTGGGGCTCCGTGTTGGAAACGGGGGCTGGCTTCGTGGGCATGTCCTCTCAGCTTGGGGGGAAAGGTGTGGGGGACTCCTTCTCTCCTCCTCCTGGCCCCCCGCCCCTGCTGAGGAGGCTTCTCCCGGGAGTTTGCTGGGAAGCCAGGGGTGTGAGCCTAACTTCAGGCTTCTCACGGCAGATGGGCTTGGGCTCTGGGGATAGGACACTGGGGAAGGCACACCGGGGAGGGGCTGCTGGGACCAGCAGAGTTCCCGGAGAGTGTGTGTGTCGGGGGGGATGTGCTGCTTGCACCTTCCCTTCCAGAACAGACCTGCCCACCTTGCCTCCACCTGTTCTAGGGGGTGTGGAATTCAGCCAGGCCAGGTAACTTCTTCACTCTCTCATTGGCCAGCCACAGCCCTCACCCTCTGATTGGCCGACCCTCACCCTGTAGTTGGCTAGTGGACTTCCTCATGCTCTGATTGGCTAGTCAACTCCTTCACTCTGATTGGCCAGCCACATCCCTCACCCTCTGATTAGCTAGTTGACGCCACTCTGGCCAGTTAATGCGCCACACTCTCTGATTGGCCAGTGTTCCTCCCCCTCTGATTGGCCAGTTAACTCCTCACTCTCTGGCTAGTCTCCACAGTGATTGGCCCAAGGGTTCTGTCTGTGTTCATGGTTCTCTGAGTGTCAGGCTTTGCAGGTGTGATTAAGAGGCGGATGAGTGCCTCCCAGGGAAGAGCCAGTGCATGGTTCAAGGTCACCCAGAATAGACAACATGACATCAGGCTCAAATGGTGCTGCATCGTTTACAGCAAGAGGAGAGCGCCTGTGCATCCAATCCCCTTGTAGTGGTGGTTCCCACGGTTGGATCCACTGGCCCAAGTGGGCCTCTTTCTTCGATTTTTCTTAGAACTTTTCAAAATAGGTAACACATGCCTGTGTGTCACAAACAGCACAAAGGCGAGTAAACACTGTCACCAGC